GTCTCTATCAGTTTTCTGCAGGGAATCATGACCAGGCCTAACAGGGAATTTGAAGTCTCCAGAAAGATGATGGGACCCCACAACGAGGATTCCACATGGACAATAATAATACCACTAAGCTACAAACACCTCCAAAAGATCAGCTTTGGACTACAAACTGCTCAGAACAATTATGAAATGGCTAGCTGAGATGATCCAGCCTCACAGGCTATTCAAGTGAGGACTTGAGATAAGCCCTCCACTTTTGCATTATACAGAGACTGGACAACAAATGATACAGCTACCACTCTGGAACTTGACAATTAACCAAAATTTTTTCTTTTCAGGATCCCCTAAAGATGCCTTCACCCACAAACAGCAGGAAGCAATTTTAAGACCAGGACACCCACATTCCCAAGAGGTGGAGTGGGTGGTTTATGGTCTTTCAGTGGGTTTTAGGTTTGGGATAATTGTCATTATTTAGGATGGTTGGTTACAAGTTGTTATTGGTAATGGTCAGGAAAGAAGCTAAACAAAGGAGATTTAAGGTTTTTGTTTGGAAAAAAAAGGAAAAAAGAGGATATGGATAAGAGGTAGATTATAGAATCTACTAAAAAATAGATATAGAAATGATAGAATGAAGGGTAGATTATTGAATCTACTCTGACAAGAAAAAAACGAGAGGATATAGACATGATATAGATTATAAGGTAGATTATTGAATCTACCTTTAGAAAGGCAACTAACTACTAGTTTTAAATATTTTACATTGGATTGGATCTTTATATATTGTATACAAATTATATATATTGATACAAATTTGAAATTGATATTGTTAGAAAATGCTGTACTTATATTTCTAAGCTTGTTCTGGATGTTGTACCTATATAGTTCATTTAACAATGTAATGCAGTTTGCTGATCCTTGAATGTTATTATTACCAACTATTAGGATATAAAGAAATGAAAGTTAGACATTCATTTAGAAATGTTAGAAAGAAATGTAATGTTAGACATTACAATCGAACTTGTAGTCATATTAGGTGTGTTTTCAAGGTCAAGCAGAGATATATTTTAGATAGACAGGTCATTTTCAAACCCTTCAGAGATCTATAAAATATAGCATTTAAAATGTTTTAACAACATAGTTTTTTTTTAGATTTTTTTTTTCTTTTTTTATGACAATGAGACATGTCTGCTCCTGGCAGCACTAATCTATTTCAGAGAAGATATGGGCATTGAAGAAACTGTATATGGAATTAACTTTCATTGTGGCAAAAGTTAGCTACTGGGCAAGAGTGCTCTCACATCGATTGCTGACAGTATGCTATCCAAAATGGACAAACAGGACACAAAACAAAGAACTACTGATCCTTGCCAAGACAAGTGTGGTTGTGGCTTTAGCAACAGGCATCCTCTGAGGCCAGGACAATATGACACCATCACTAAAGTGGCTTTGCAATATGGAAAAGGTACAGTGCCCCTTTCCTCAAAGGCAGCTGAACAGGCAGTGGACCGATGGCTTCTGGTGTGCAGTGGAACAGTAGCTGAAACAGTTATTCTTGAAGGAGTAACTAGGTTGATGGAGTCTAACCTCTCAATGGTAGACTGGCATTTAATAAAAGAAATGAAGCCATCCACAAGCTGAGAAGAGTGAGCAGCCGAATTCCAAAAACCCCAGCAATTTCTAGAATTTAAAATCCTGAATCATGACAGGCCAGTAGTGGAATTCAAGTGTTTCTGGTACATGGTTGAGCTGTAGGCCTTGTGCACATCCTACTTCACAAATGAGTCTGTCAGATACACTAAGCCTGTAGGCCAAAGATAATGCCCCAATGTGCAGGAAAACCTCCAGTGACTGTCCAGGCAGCTGGCTGTTTCTTTCATAACTCATTTTTTAGAAGTTGCTTGTTTGCACTACCTGTTTTACTAGGTAATATTATTTCTTTCTCAGGTCTCTGAGGGAGTTGAAGATTAGATAGTTATAGTTACAGTTTTCATTGTTAAGAAATTCAGAAAAGAAACTCACTAAGAGGTGTTAAATGTATAAGTTGGAAAGACATCATAAGTGTTTTCTGTTGTTAATATAAGTTAGGATAGAAAGTGAAGTAGGTACATTTTGGTCTCACCAAAATAGGATAGATAATGGAATATTTTCTCTGAATTTGTCAAATGCAAATGGACCAGACATTGTTGATATATTTATATATTGCATATAGTTATTGTATTTATTGTATATACTTTTTCTTATATTAGTTATGACTTTTATTTTTATTAGATAAAAAGGAGAAATGTGGTAATATTTTATTTGTGCTTTAATAAATAAAGCTTGCCTGGAGATCAAGGGGAAAAGGCCAGCCATTTTAAGTAAACAATGAAGTCAGGCAGTGCACACCCTTAATCCCTTAGCAGGCAGGGTCTCTGTGTGTTCAAGGCCATACTAGGGAACAGAGCCAAGCGTGGTGATACACACCTTTAATCCCAGTACCAAACATAGAGACCTGGAGGTGTAGACAGACAGACATGTGACATGTAGCAGGAATCCTAAAAGTTCTTATTAATAAAATCAAATCCAGCCAGGTATTGGGGTGAACTAGAAGATCAGAGAATCAGAACAAGCCACAGCTCCCTCACCTCGCCAGATCTCAGCTGGTCCTCTTTCCTCAGACTGGAGACTTCTGTGTCCTCATATCCGAATGGCTCTCAGCTGAAATGTGCTGCTAGAAGCCTGAAAGCTTAACCAGCCAAATGCTTAACCAGGCCAAATGCTTCTAGTTTCTGGTCTTCACGCCTTCTATACCTTTCTGCTTTCTACCATTACTCCCTAGGATTAAAGGCTTGCTTCCTGGGATTAAAGGCGTGAGTCACCCATGCTTGGCTGTATCCTTGAACACATGGATTTCTGCCTCTGGAATGCTAGGATTAAAGGCGTGTGCTACTACTGCCTATCCTCTGTGTTTAATATTGTGGCTGTTCTTTCTCTGACCCCAGATAAGTTTATTAGAGTGCACAATATTTTGGGGGAACACAATACCACCATAGTGACAGAGCTATGTGGGAAGAGGAAGTGAAGTAGCTGGGCTAAGAGCCAATGAGAGGGCAGAAAAGCAAGACATATAAGCCCTGGGTAGACAGGAAGTCATTCTCCTTGGAGGATGCAGAGTTGGTAAGGTAAGGTTAGCTGGTGGCTTTCCATATTTCTCTGACCTCTCTAAGGCTTTAACCCAAATTTCTGGCTCTGTGTTTTTTTATTTAATAAGACCATTTAGAAATTCGTTTACAGGTTATCAAGGGCATATTGTGGCCAGGCCTTAGTACTCAGAGAAATCAAGTATTCAGGACAGATGGTATTAGACAGCCCCAATTTGAATAGAGTTTGTCAACGACACCCCAGGAGCATTTGGGTATCAGGCTTTGAATGGTAGGTGCCCATTTCACAAGTCTATGCTGGGGACCCAAAGCCTAGGACAATGCATCCACTGTGGTAGGCCTTGGGTCAAAAACAGGGGTGTGGGAAATTCCCTTCAACAGGATGTCTTCTGGAGAAGGGGTCTCATGGAACAAAGGCAGCCTTTTGCTCCAGAATGTGCTGGGGTCCTGGCATGGCTGCATCTTTAGCAAAACACCCCAAAAATCAAAGTAGGCCCTGGGCCTCTTGGAAAGGAGAACTTATCCAGCCAAAAGCTGATCTTAGTCTGACGGAGAACAGGTATGGGGGAGAGGGGTGTTTTCCTACCACGTGGCCCCAGGCTGGTGGGGGAAAATCAACCCCCCCTCAGTGGAACCTCCAGATGAAAAGTTTTTGTACCCTGATAGTCTTCTCTGCCAATGCAGCAGTCCAAATCAGACCGAATTAGAAAAAGCCCCGGTTTAATGGGTAAAGCATTCCCAGGTGATTCTCCAGACCCCCAGAGAGGCGATAGGGATGAGAGACTGGAAAACCATGTGTGTGTTTTTTGGGATGAAGTTTAAAAACCCTGTGGGAGTGGTCTGATCATTTCTGGGGAAGGAGCTATGTTTGGCAGGCTTGCGGGGGGGGGGGCAGGTTTGGGGAAAGAGATGGGGAAGGGAACTTGAGGTGGACCCTCCACCAGAACACATATGACCATGTCTCCAAAAAATATAAGAAAAAGCTGTAACATATACTGTTTTTCTTTCTGTCAAAATTGTGACATTAAATCCATGATATATAGATTGACTACATAAATATATTAGTAAATTGTTTAAATTACTATATAATATTTCATTGTGGTTTATGGGTATTTTAGTAGTTTCCAGTTTTAGGTATGAAAAATAGCCCAAACATTTTTACTGAACGTTCACATATCTCTTTGGTATAATATACTTAGGAGTAGAATTGCTGGGTAATTAGTACATTTTGTTATTTGTTTACCTATTTGTTTTAAATTGCTTGTGTCCTGGTGAAAATGCTTTAATATATACTGTGATAATTATGATGCAGAAGAAGATGGATAACTGAAGAAATGTAATCCTGTGGGGTTTTTTGGCACTTAAGAAGTAAATACATGTGTTCCTAGGAAAATGAAACAGATTTATGTATATGGTTCAAAGCTTAAAGATCATATTGGATAGAATAAACTAATATGCTTGCAGAGTGAGTCTTTCTTATTAAAAATTTAAATTGGGAAATATTTTTCCCCTAAGGAATTTGTTCATTCAACACTATGTGCATTGCTACATAGAGAAGAAAAAGAAGTGAAGCCTTGCCAGTGAGTTCATATTGCTTATTATAGGTTTCAAAGAACTCTGCTCTAACTACTGATTCTGAATGACCAGTCTCTATTTGAAAAGAGAAGGAAGGAAAAAGGGACATTTGAATTTAAACAGAATTAATGTAAGTATGGCTCAGTAGTAGAATGCTTGTCTGCCATGATCTAGACCCTGGGTTCAATTCTTAGAACCATAAAAGTAAGATAATTGATTAAAATAAAAACTTGCAGATTGTTACTACAAATCATATAGCCAGTGCCAAGAATAAAACAACTTACTTTTTTTTTCTAGTCTGTAACTTTCAAAACTACCAGCAGAAATCTTGCTCGAGCCATGTGTATGAAGAATATCAAGCTTACTATCATCATCATCATAGTATCAATTGTAAGTTTTTGTCTCTTTAATATATGAGCTTATTTTTCACTCTTTAAGATATTAGGTAATGGGGCCCAGTAGTGGTGGTGCACGCCTTTAATCCCAGCACTTGGGAGGCAGAGGCAGGCGGATCTCTGAGTTCAAGGCCAGCCTGGGCTACAGAGTGAGTTCCAGGAAAGGTATAAAGCTACACAGAGAAACCCTGTCTCGAAAAACCAAAAAAAAAAAAAGATATTAGGTAATAGGATTCTTACTTATTGATTGACATTCTGAAATGGGCTACATTCAACTTTTAATTGTAAAACACGTGACTAAGAAATATCTTTTCTTGTGAAATCAGCATTAAAATTTAAATTCCTTTTTTCCTGTTGAGAATTTTTGTACATAGTGAAATAAATAAAACTGTGGTTGAGGACATAGCTCAGTGTTTAAAAGCACTTGTTCTGTAAGCAAGAGGAGCTCAGTCTAAATCTCCAACACCCACCTAAAAGGCCAAGCATAGCTGTGCATGTCTGTAACTCCAGCATGTGTGGTATGGACATGTAGATCCTGGTAGCTTGTTAGCTAGGTAGCCTACCTAAAAAAGAGAGCTGTTTAGTGAGAGACCTGGTCTCAAAAAATAAATGGGAAAGCAGTAGAGGAAGATACTGGAGGTACTCTGGCTTCTGCATATATATTCACAGGTGTACATACCTATATACATATACACACACCACAACACACCCAGTTTTATTATGTAAAGCTTTCAACTAGTTTATTCTATACACAGAATTATATAGGAATTAATATGTGATTAATATGTAATTACAGTTAATATAGAACTCTGAAACTGTACATCCCACCATATTTTAGAATCCATCCTTTTTATAACAGAAAATAATAAAAATCTTTCCTCACAAACAATACCTCTTTTTACATACTTTCACTATTGGTTACATGAACCTTGTGCTAGAGTCACGTAAGTAAAATTGCCTCCTTCTTCTTCCAGGTGTTCATCTATATCATTGTGTCACCTCTCTGTGGTGGGTTTACATGGCCAAGCTGTGTGAAGAAATAAGAAAGTTACCATTAACCAAGGATACAAGTGTAAATGGAGATAAAGGCAATCCATGTGACTCAGGCTTTTCACTATTCTCAGAAAGTATCTGCCAGTTTCTTTAATCTTCTTTTCACTTTTTCTTGTTTTAATAGAATGATATGCCTCTAGATTTATTTTTGTCCTACCATATAGTTTATTTTAATGAACTTCATATTGAACCATTATTTACAGAAGCATCTTTGAAATAGCATTTGTTTCTTTGGTCTGTTAAGTAAAACCTTCTACTTAGACATTTTTGTTTTTAACACACAAAGCATTTGCCAAGGTAGAAACCACCAATCTTACAACCTATCTGCTAAAACTGTCTAGGAATTTTGTATGTTCACACAAAATTATTGGGAGACAGATTGTATTGCTGACATCTCATCTTAGTCTCTTTTGTTATGGGAGAGTTTTAGGTGCTTCAAAATAATATAGATAATTTTGGGAATTGTAATAAATTGTTGGTGCTGCTTATATCCAGCAACATATAAATATATGTATTTAGCTTTTTTTTTCCAGTAAGATGGGAAACATTTTCCTGGCCCATTTGAAGCACAATAATTATCCTTGTCCTCCCAGCATTTACTTTCTTAAATGAAGTTCAGTGCACTATTTAATCATATTGCAGATAGTTTAATACCTTCTGTTTCTCCATTACAAAGTTGACTTGAGAAGATGAATTAAGTAAGTTGAAGATTATGGGTTTTACATATTATTTTTTTATTCTTTGCATAATTGGAACAAACATGTTAATAAAATTCATAACAGAGGAAAGGGGAGGCAAATATCACTGACTCATCAAAGAGAAAGAAGAGAGCCACAGTAAAAGTACAAGCATTTTAGCATCACAGAATGTGGTCATGTGAGAAGTTGGGGGGTTTTTTTTGTTTGTTTGTTTTTTTGTTTTGTTTTGGTTTTGCTTTTTGGTTTTTTCCATTCTGGGAAAAGCCCAAACCGAATACAGCCAGAAGTCAACTCCAGGATTTGGATTTAACTTCTGTTGAATAATAGTTGGAACTTTCTTTATGGTTTAACAAAATCTTTAATCTACCAAATTTTGAATAATTGTAAAATGTGAAAGAGAATAGACAGTGTAATGATATAGAAATAATATAAAATATCTTAACATACATTTATTGTAGAGTAAGAAAATCTGAATGTAATGCTGCTTTATCTACTCTGGCATTGGTCATTTAGTAGTTGGTGTCTATCTGAAATCAAGACATTTTTGCCCTAGATATAATCGCATTTATTTATCCATAGGTGAAATTAAATAGAAGTGGTATCATATTTTACTCTTTTCTCAGTGAAACAGAAGATTAGTGTTTTGAACTCAGCCAACTGTTTAGCCTAGTCATGTGCCTTGAATATGTATGTATGTGTCCTATAATCAGATTCTTGGTACCTCATCTTCAACATTCATGCTGTTTATTTGATATGCCTAATGCACATAGTAAATCTTTTGTTAATCAACAGTTCATCAAGCATAAAACAGTGTTCTTTCCAGACATTTTATGACCACTAATTCATTGTAATTATATAATTATTTCCTATTAGGAAATACATTCATTCTCAAAAAAAAAAATGGTATTTCCAAGTAATAAAAACTTCAAAATTATTTCCTTTTCTTATACACACCTAAATAAAGTTTATGTGCATGTTGTAGGGATTAAGTGTTCAATGCTCTATTTATGTATAAGAATGCTTTTTACAGCATATGTTTCATTGTAAATGATGCACACATTGAAGACATTAATAAAAGTTAAGATTAATACCTTGACTTTCTCGTTTTTGAAGTTCTTACTATAGTCTTATTTAAAATCATTTAACCATGGTAAGTGAAGCAAAATAATCTTATTTATGCTGAGGATATACTGCGAAGTATAACCTAATACTTTCAGAGAACATTTGCAGCATAGAGATTACTTATGGAAACCAAAAGATAAAAGAGGAACTAAAAAAAAAATATGTAGCCCAACATGTTCAAATTATCCAAAACTATTATTCTTAGCTGAGACAAACATAGACTAAAAGAAACAATGCACACATAGCAAGAAAACAAATTGTAAATAGTGTCTTCAATAATACATTAAGGAAGGAGATTTTTTGAATTGAGACCTTTTGAAACAACATAAAAAATGTTGGTGTGTGAGGAAAGGGTCAGGGTGAGATTTTGGGTTGGGGGTTAAAGTTAGGGTCAGATTTAGGGTTAGGGTTAGGGTAAGGGGTTAGGATTGGGTAAGGGTTAGGTTAGGGTTAGGGTTGGGGTTAGAGGGTGAGGGTTCAGGGTTCAGGGTTCAGGTTCAGGGTTCGGGTTTAGGGTTTAGGGTTCGGGTTAGGGTTTACGGTTAGGGTTTACGGTTAGGGTTTAGGGTTAGGGTTAGGGTTAGGGTTAGGGTTAGGGTTAGGGTTAGGGTTAGGGTTAG